TTGCGATCCTTTATGCCTATGCCCCTGTGGGTTCCAATTGTCATCGGCTAAGTGCAGATTTATGCCCCACCAGATAGTTCGGAAGAAGAAATTTACGCATTTTATGACGAGTTAGACATGGCTTTTGATCAATGCAAAAATTGTGAAGTAACAATGGTACTGGGAGATTTCAACGCGAAAATAGGAAGTGAAAAAGTATACGTAATAACGGGTGGCTATGGCCTAGGAGAAAAGAATGTGAGAGGTGACAGATTAATAGCATGGGCTGAGTCGCACAGCGTGATGATAGGTAAAACCCGGTTTAAACACCATCTCGAAGATTGTGGACTTGGAAAAGTCCTGGCGATATTGTCCGCAACCAGATTGATTTTTTTTTTTTTTGATTTCAAGAAGATTCCGGAGCAGCTTAGTTGGAGCAAAGACTAGAACAGGAGCAGACTGCTTTAGTGACCATGTTCCAGATATAGGAACAATTAGAATAAAACTAAAGAATATTAAGAAAACACAGAACATCAAGTTAAATTTAGGAATACTTAGAACGGATAACGAAATTAAGGAACACTACAATGTAACTGTACAAAACTGGTATAATGCAATGGAAATTATATAGACTGTATGTTGATGAACAGTGTGATCTGTTGCGGGAGTCAATTCAGCAGACATCAAAAGAAACAATCCCACCAACCCATAGAGTTGCAAAAAAGAAATGGATGTCAACTGAAATTCTGCAGTTGATGGATGAAAGAAGGAAGAAAAAGAATGATAAAGAAGAATACTCTAGAATACAAAAAGAAATAGTGAATAAATGCAAAGTGGCTAAAGAAACCTGGCTGAATCAAATGTGTACAGAGGTTGGGGAAAATCACAGGAAAGACTCACATTCTATGTACCAATAGATAAATATGTTAACAGGAAAGATGACACGTAACACCATTGGATGTTTAAAATCAAAAGATGGCGACTTATTAATGGGACATAGTGATATAATTAACAGATGGACATAGTATATAGGAAAATTGTATGATGATAACAGACCAGATCAAGAATTGCAGACCAACAATGATGGTCCACCAATAATGACTGCAGAAGTTAAGGATGCATTGCATCATATGAAGAAAGGAAAAACACCCGGGCCTAAAATCTATATTTATAGCTCCGCCAAATAAACCAATCACTTTAAAATTTGAAGATCATCGCACAATAAGTCTTACGAGTCAAATGACTAAGATTTTACTAGGAATAATTATGAGAAGAATAAGAAACAAAATTAAACCATAAATCAGAGATAAACAATGTGGATTTGTAGAAGGAAAAGGTACAAACAATGCCATATACATCATAAGGACATTGTCAGAAAGAACTATAGAAGTAAAGACTGATTTGTACTTATGCTTTATAGACTACTAGCTGTACCCGGCCACGCGTTGCTGTGGCCCAGATTGGTGAAATGAAAAGGAAAGAAAATAGCTCTCAGCTAACAGTGTCTGTCATACGCCCCTCCTTTCCCCTCGACGCAGTCATATTTCCCTCTCCGAAGGATTGAGAAATCATCCATGGCGAAATTATTAAAAAAGAAATAGTTAAGAAAAAAGAACTTTAAACTAGTATTTTATGCTCTCTCAGCTAACTGTGTTTGGAATAAACCCCCTCCCTCCCCCCCCCTTTCCACCAATCATATTTCCCTCTCCGTAGGATTGAAAATCATCACCTGGCAAAATTATTAAAAAAGAAATAGTTAAGAAATGAGAACATTAAAATAATATTTTAAGCTCTCTCAGTTAACGGTGTTTGGCATACCCCCCTCCCCCTTCCCCGCTCCCCCACTCACATCTCTCTCTCCCAAAGATTGAAAAATCATCACCTGGCGAAGTCATATCTCCCTCTCGGAAGGACTGAAAAATCATCACCTGGCGAAATTATTAAAATAGAAATAGTTAAAAAATTAGAACTTTAAAATAATATTCTAAGCTCCCTCAGCTAACTGTGTCTGGCATCAACCCCCCCCCCCCCCTATCATATCGTCTTCTCCGAAGGATGGGGAAGTCACCGTGTAACGAAATATTGTAACTAAATTGAGCTATGCATAAATGTCTACCCAGACTTAAATAGGTAGCATGAACTTGTACAGAGAAGTAAATGTAGCCAGTGTAACAGCTACCACATTACCCATCCAGTACCAGTACTACTGCAACCAGAACCACCCCCACCATCACAACAACAACAACAACTGTCACTACAGTCTGTGTAGGTCGGTGAAGAAAAGAGGAGTTAGCGCCGCATGCTGTCGCCAGGGACTATTTAGTTTGATTTTGCCCCGGACATAGGGGGAAAAAACTTCATCCCGTAACCAGTGATGGAACCCATAGTGAAAAGTACACTATACTCACGAATAGCGGAGAAAAATACCCCGCACCCGTCATCTCTTCCTCTCCGAGGAAACGATTTTTAACTGACCTTGGAATCCGTATCCACCCAAACTAAACTGGACTGTAAGCCGTTTTAGTTAACAGTTTCTGTCATCGCCAATAGTTTTTGAGCGAGAAGCGTCGCGGGGAGGCTAATTAGGACTTAACTGAAATCGGATGTCTTTGGGCGAAAGGCGATGATATCGCAGCCAAGCTGTAAACCACAACACAACGTGGCAACCACCCTTTTAGGGGAAAAAAACAATTATCACCAGCAGGGAATCGAACACCGGTCACCCGAGTAAAGGATGACATACTTACAACTTTACTACCGACGACTGAAGAGTGTAGGTCAGATATCGCAGCCTAGCTGTAAACCACAACACAACGTGCCAACGGCCCTCTCAAGGGCAAACGAAGATTTCCATGTGACATGACCATTGAGCATCACGTCGCCGCTGTCGCTGGCTAGCTGTAAACTCCAAAACCGAAAAAGACGTAGATATCGCAGCCTAGCTATAAACCACAACACAACGTGACAGCTCCCCAGTAAGGGCTTAAAAAAGGGGGAATCGAACGCGGGTCACCTGCATGATAGGCAGAATAGTTAACAACTACGCTACCAAACACTCAAGCAAATAGTTGAAATGAAATTATATAATAATGCAAAGTTCAATAAGAGCTCAGCAGTCAAATGTGGTCGATCACATAAAAACAAATCGGGGCCGGCGACGAAACAGATAATGATTTGGCCGTTGCTGGAGCTACGTCGTTCGTAATTTGTGCGATTTTCTGACAACAAATCACGCTTGGAGTCAAAGGCAACGTTGTGTGCAAATTTGAAAGCAATCGGTTCAGTAGTTTTTAAGTTTTTAACTTACATCAACGGAAAATTTACATTTTTATTAATACAGAAGAAGAAGATAGATACAAAAGCATTTGACTGTGTGAAACGTGAAGAAGTAATCAAACTGTTAACAAAATTAAACATTGATGGAAAAGATCTACGAATAATAAAAAATATGTATTGGTAGCAAAAACCAGCTATAAGAATAAACAACTGTTTATGTACATTTCAGAGCATAAAGAGGGATGTACGACAAGGATGTGTACTGTCCCCTGGTTTATTTTCACTATACAGTGAATATATAATAAGATCTTTAATTGATATGCCCGGAAATGTGGTTGGTGGGCACAATATAAACAATTTGCGTTATGCTAATGACACAGTCTTGATAGCAACAAGTCAGAAAGAACTACAGGAAATGATAGACATTGTTGTAGTACAAAGTAGAAGAATGGGTCTCATCCTGAATAATAGGAAGACAGAAGTAGTGGTGGTAGCAAAGAAAATAATTATTCCCAAATATGTCATAAAAGTCAATGGTGTTATTTTGGGACAAGTACATAAATTTACTTATCTAGGCACATGGATAACATCAGATGGAAGATGCATTAATGAGATAAGAAACAGAATAGGAGAGGCAAAAACTGCATTTTATGAAATAAAAAATATCTTATGCAATATATCTTTGTCATTGAGAGTTATAAAAATTATTTTTCCTTGCTACATACATTCAGTTTTTAACATATGGCTGTGAGTCCTGGACAGTCGGTAGGCAGGCCAAACGATTTCTTGAGGCTTCAGGGATGTGGTTTTACAGAAGAATGCTTAGAATACCCTGGACAGTAAAAAAGAGCAACCAAGAGGTTTTGAAAGAGGCGGAAGCCCGAAGACAGATTATCACAGACATCAGAGGGAGACAGTCATCATTTTTCAGCCATATTATGAGAAGAGTGAAAATGGAACATGTTGTGATCACTGGAAAGATCTGTTAAAGGAGGGATGGAGGAAGACAACGA